TTATTACGTCTGGAGCCACCAAAGACAATCCTTTTGATAGGAAAGGGAAGAGCTAAAGTTAAGAGAAAGAGAAGCTAAAGAACTGAACTGTTTATTATTCAATACAAAATATTGGTCTATTTATACTAATTCTAATACACTATCTATATCTAATCTAATTGGTGCTTGATCCAATGGATACCGCAGTACTGCGAAATGGTTTTGCACCTAGTGTGAGTTGTTTTTGCACTCGCAGTAAGAGTGGTGTTACGCAGTAAGTGTATTGTTGCGGGTGTGAAATAAATTTGCACTCATAGTTACACCAAGTCTGTGATGAAAATGATACAGAGTAAACTGAAAGATAGTGATACAAGTATATTACAAAGCGAATACTAAGGGGAAGAGCCCGTTTATTGATGCGAATGTATTGGGGACAGCAAGGTAGGTTACAATACAAAGTGGTGGGTGGCTATATAAAGTGGTGAGTGGCCATAGAAAAGTGGTGAGTGGCCATACTAAGTGGTGAGTGGCCGTACAAAGTGGTGAGCGGCTATAGAAAAGTGGTGAGTGGCCATTCTAAGTGGTGAGTGGCCGTACAAAGTGGTGAGTGGCTATATAAAGTGGTGAGTGGCCATAGAAAAGTGGTGAGTGGCCATACTAAGTGGTGAGTGGCTATAGAAGAGTGGTGAGTGGCCATAGAAAAGTGGTGAGTGGCTATATAAAGTGGTGAGTGGCCATAGAAAAGTGGTGAGTGGCCGTACTAAGTGGTGAGTGGCCGTACAAAGTGGTGAGTGGCTATATAAAGTGGTGAGTGGCCATAGAAAAGTGGTGAGTGGCCATGCTAAGTGGTGAGTGGCCGTACAAAGTGGTGAGTGGCCATAGAAAAGTGGTGAGTGGCCATACTAAGTGGTGAGTGGCCATACAAGTGGTGAGTGGCTATATCGAGTGGTGAGTGGCCATAGTAAAGTGGTGAGTGGCTATAGAAAAGTGGTGAGTGGCCGTACAAAGTGGTGAGTGGCCATAGAAGAGTGGTGAGTGGCCATAGAAGAGTGGCGAGTGGCCATACTAAATGGTCAGTGGCCATATAAAGTGGTGAGTGGCCGTACAAAGTGGTGGGTGGCGATATAGAGTGGTGAGTGGCCATACAAAGTGATGGGTGGCTATATAGAGTGGTGAGTGGCTAAACAAGTAATATGATTTTTGATCTTGGCTTCTTTCCGTGTTCTTTATCTATTTTATTTGCACTAATGAATATTTTGGTCAAAACATAATAGTACGGCGCCCACACTACGTACATCACCGCCACCATACACAACTACAGATGAATATGAAGACAATGCTAGCTCGACAGGGTAAGTACAATATTTTTTTATTGTAGTAGGCGGCTGTACTTCGGGTCGATATTTACCTTGGTACGGATGATTCAGGCGATCCAGATCTGTGTCAAGTGGTGCTTCAGGGTAAGATATCTTTGTCCCTGTTGCTTACATTTTTCCTGTCCTAGTATGGATCAACAGTATACTCATATTTAAACACTGCGAGTGAAATATAGATCGTCAAGTACAAGATCCGCTGACCAAGCTGCCGTAACATAAGTCATTTACTTTTTCTTTGTACGCAATTCTTGCTGTATATGCGCACTCACACAATGCCAAATTCAATTTAGACCATCATCCCTGCAAGCAGCGGCTGATCAGATAGTGGAAAGTGCTGCCAGTATGTATATTCTCTTTTGGGAAAAAGAGCATGGGAAGCGTATTGTACGAGCGACTGTTTTCTAGGAGCGTTGCAGATGTGCAAGAACCTGCTTCTCCTACGATTCAGAATGCTCCCAAGTAAGTATATGATTCTTTTGAAAAATAAATCTGGAAAGGAAGCTATTCTAATCAGTGTTTGGTAACAACTATTTGTATATTTATAACAGCACTGATGCTCGTAGCACAAGCCAACAACGCCGTCAAACAAGACAAACAAGACAAGCAACGTAAGTTACATATTCACAACAAGATACTAAAGCGTAACGTATGTACATTTCAATGACATTGCATTTTTTACAGATCCACACAAGGCGGACATGATGGGCAAAAGGGAGGAGGAGCAACAGCAGCAGACACGTCAAGTGGTCGTGGAGGAAAAAAATCAGGAAGGTGTCGTGGCGGTAAGAAGTCATCAGAACGCCGCAGTAACAGAAAGAAACCTGTGGATGATGAACAACAGGATAGTGACGATGATACGCCCTTGGAAAAAAAGTCCCGAACGAAGTAAAGGTGAAGTAGTGATAAGGTGTGGTCTGGGAATTCACAAAAAAAAAATAAAAAATAAAAGACGGTTCGTGTGAGGAGGTCTCTATGAGCTATACGTGACGCTGTTGATGTGGGTTGATATGGGTTGTTTTGGGTTACTACTGGTGAATTACTAGCAATGAAAACTGGTGGATATTGGTAATTTTTTGTGAAAGTTGTTTCTGGTGAATTTAGGTGAAATTGCCATTTTCACCTTAACAATAATTAACCAGGTTTTACAAAGATTAACCGTGGTGAATAGCATTATTCCTAGACTTTCCAATTGATTCCACATCCATAACCATTGGATGCGAGTACTTTCCACAACCTTCGAGCATCATCTTTGATGTTCAATTAATATAGATGTATTGAAAGATATAAATACCCCCTCATTTTATTTGAATAAAAACATTGAATTTCTACCTCCCACTTTTGACTTAACCTTTCAAGTGTTGTTTTCAATCACTCAAGACCTAAACACGGCTTGTTTTATATTACATATTGTTTATTGCTCATAACTGAAGCTAAATAAACCCTTCTATTAAGACCAGACGTAACATTCCTGCTCTTATTTCTCATTTACTTGGACAGACGTAGCATTCCTGATCCTTATTTCTCATTCATTTTGGACAGACGTAACATTCCTGATCCTTATTTGTACTCACTGAGCTTAATCAAGACATCAGCTCACTACTATTTACGACCTTGGACATAAACCATACACATTTTTACCTTACTTTACACTCATATCACTTGACAACCCGTCTGTAATAAACGATATTATTACTGGTGCTCACTACAAAACATACACATAAACCGTTACGCAACTACCTTGAATACCCCAAATTCACCGTAACAGTGGTACATAATTTGTGCAGCTTGTCCGACCTATGTTTTTGTGGCTGCATTAATAGACAATCAAAAGAGGGTGATGGTGATCGTGACTCATATATACTCCCGCTATCACTGCTACCGCGGCCAACGGCATCCATGTTCTTGAGAACATCACCACCAATTACAGAGCATATGACGACGATCGTCCCTGATAATAATACTGATCACTTTTGTGGCATCATGAACACCAGTCATATAAATAATTCAATGACGACCGAAACAAATCTTGAAGGGTCTACAGCAGTGACAGCAACGTCTTTTTCAGCAACAGCATCACCCACACGCAGCTACAACATTCAGAGACAAGACGACGCTAATGACAATAGCAACAACAACAACTAAAAAAATGATGTCCTGGACCAAGAAAACGATGCGAGCACCTTTCAAGCAGCTGATTTGTAAACCTTGCCTACGCGGTCTCTGGGTTTCCGAAGAACGCTCGAAATAGTAGCTGTGCAGCCTTAGTCAAATGCTAGCCCGACAGGTCATCGTTACTGCATTTACTCTAGTCCTAGCAATGGCCGACCCCAATTCCTCAATATACACCAGTAAAGCATGGCTGCCTATAATTTACTTCATTATGTAGATCAGTTACATAGTATCTGTTCCCCTGGCACATGCAAATCTTCCAAATCTTGCAATAAAATCTAGGAAAAAGCTCGGTTGCCAACAACAACCGCGGTGGGTCCGACTGTATCAGCAGAATGGCAGCATCAATAACTTTAACATTAGGTTAGTATTTAGTTACTTTAGGAGATAAACCATTATTAATTGCAGCATATTAAGTTTATTTGGGGTCATACATATGAGCTATGGTGTGCCACACTTTATGAAAACAACCCATACAAATGAATGGAACAGGTCCGTGCAATGGTCGCACAAGAAGCAACAATTATTCTATGAACCCCCTTCCTACTGCTTACTTTATAAGCAAAACCCAGTTTGAAAGGGTGATCCTTTGCTCTTGCTGTCACAATCAAAGGATCGACATCATGAAATACATGGATGACTTCTTTGTGTTTATTTGTGGGCTGGTAAATGGGGAAAAGAACAACAGAGCACGGGGTATGTGTAGTGCCACTGTCCACTTCTATTACAGCACTTGATGTATATGAATGTGGTGTTTATATTATGGCTCGAGTACCTATATCTTCGCGACATGTGAATGTACCTATCTGTACACATACATGTACTGCAGTAGACAGCGGCATAGGCACAGAGAGAGAGAAAGAGAGAGAGAAAGAGAGAGAGAGAGAGAGAGAGAGAGAGAGAGAGAGAGAGAGAGAAGTCCTTGAATAAAAACACATCAACTTTTTGTTTACTGCCTCCTTAATATTGCCTCGGATCCCACCTCCCTGAAACGTATCATAGCATAAGAGCCACTTTTTCATATTATTAAACGAAGATTTCTAGTAACAAAAAAGCATCACATAAAGATCAAAATACGACCACCGATGCTGAATAGTAGTCATTACTATGGTCTGCCGCATCATCGAAGAACCAAATCGATCATTATTCTGACACGTCCTCAACGAATAGTAGCAATGACGCGTCAGCGATGAGGTATGCCACAATCCACATTGCCAGAAGCTGGAGCAGCAGTTGATCGACCGTAATCATCCTAATGACAACAACAGCGGGGGAGAAGAAGAAGATGATGGCAATGTGGTTTTATCTTCTTCTTCTTCTTCTTCTTTTTCGGAACACAATCATAGTAGCACTAATCAACCGCATGAGAAACGTGATAGAAACCATATCCATTTCGGAGCACTTGTCTTGTGGTATAGTCAATCTACGTACTCGTCGGAACGTTTAAGAAGGAAACAAAGATGGTGTTAATTGATCTGTTTTGCTTGCTAATTATTTAGTCTTTGTATAAGTGTCGGTATGTTGGGTCTGAACACAGGGATTGTATTATTGCTACTCAACATCATACTTACAGTGCTCTAAAGGTATATATAACGTATCAAGGTTAGCCTCACCCCATTTACAGCACGCTTAAATGAAAAGGTTTTAGCGCTCATCTCGCTGTCTGGATGCATCTACCCTATCTTTTCGGCTGCTTACTCGTTCAGCCGCTATGTATGTAAAAAGAGCTTTTTTTTTTGTTTTCCTCTCTCTCTCTCTCTGTCTCTTTTGACAAATTACTGAATACTCTATACTCTTTGCTACAGGCAGAAATCTCGCAGACGTAATTGGACGCCAAGCCCTCTTGGTCATTTAACAATGCTTATTCCTGATCGGATCCTTATCCTGCAGCACAACACAAGACATGTTGCAAATAATCGCAGCTACAGCGGTGGCTGGTCTTGGTGGTGGAACTCTATTTCATTATCGTCTATCGTTGTCTTGAATCGTGTAGTCCATCAGCATCGTTGTCCTTATCATCGTACTACTACTATGATACTACTACTATTAGTAGTAGTAGTAGTAGTAGTAGTAGTAGTAGCAAAGATCATACAATCAGTGCTACAGCACTTTATGAACGTTATCACGTGTACATTCAAACTACACCAGCCTGTCTCTTGTTTTTTGATGTAGCTGGGATTGGCGTTAGGACCTTATGTAGAAGGATGTCACGAACCTCGACCTCTGCTGAGTGATCATCCTTAACTTCGGTGATCACATAATAAATCCCCCAATAGCAATATCGTAAATCATCATAATCCGACTTATCAACCTCAATTCCAATTTTTCCGTATTCACATCATCAAATTCCATGTAAAAGATATATATATTATATACCCTAGTCGTTGTATGATGAAACATCAGCAGTTATCTTGGTTCTTCCAGCGAATCTTCGTCAGTATGTCTAATGCGAATAGAAACGCCAAAAGATGAAGGCATTTATATGAAGGAGCCCAACATGAAACGTGATAATGTGCGTTATACTGTCCAGGTCAACGTTAGATTTTCAACCTGAAAATCGAAAAGAGATCAGTGCATCAGCTGCAGCGACGCAGTTGGGTATTCACATTCGAACTACTCAGAGAGGGGTTAGACAATATAGTTTATGCCCTGATAGCATTTTGATAATTGTAAACGGATTGTTCATTAGTGTATCGTATCTTGTAGTGTCCAAAGATCATAAAACGGCAAATAATAACTTCATTGATGCTTATTCTCTGCTGCTGTTGTTAAAGTGACAGAACATTTATTGAAGCAATTCAAGATCTTAGATTTTCAAGCAGCACTGTTTAAGAGTTTATGTGGAGTGAATACAATCTTTTGTTCTGTGGAAAGAAAAAGTTCAGCAAAGATTGAGGAGCGGTACTGTACAATTGGTTTGTAAGTGGGAAAACACAGACATGAACTTCCTCACAAATTGCGTGTTTCTAAGACGAGTCTGCTTTGATATTAAAATGAAACGCTCAAGAGCCTGGTCCACAAAAGATCGTGCTATCGTTACTCGACCTACAACGAGAGCAAACACGCCGTCTATATTGGGCGCTATCTCTGCAGCAATTTGATCACAGTCGACGTAAAAGAACTGAGACCTGCGAAGAATAGAAGGCTAATGGATATATAAGCTCAGGAACTGTGACAGGCCATTGGATTAGTTTTTTTAAGAGCGACTCTCGATGAAATGGACAAATGTCCGCATATTAAAGGACACCGTATCGTCATGGGCAATGCACTATTCACATGCATGAAAACATAAAGAGGTATATCAAGTATCGAGGATATAAATGCGTGTATCTTCCTACTTACTGTACTCTCCCGAGCTTATTGCCATAGAGCAGTTCTGGGCAGTGGCAAAGAGCAAAGTGAAGCATCATTGGCTTTTGCAAGAAGATATTATATCGGAGAGAATCAAGGTCCTGCAACAGCGTAGAAAAGGTTATTTCAAAGTATTTTTGCAAATGTTGGGATAAATGAAGTATGATATGTAACAAAGAGTCGTGATAATAATAAGGTAAGCAATAAACTTTCTTATCTTACTGTAGGTCAAGTAATCTTGTAAGTTTTCTGAAGAAAGGCCAGCGATTTAGAAAGAAAATAAATTTTATTTGATATCGTCATTATGTTTGTGATCTGCGAACGAATGCTTTCTGACCACTGAACATTCGGATAACTTTGTCGCTGTGCAATATGTCGTGTCTGCTGTAAACGTTTACAGTATGTACAATGTCAACTACGAGTTCAACTATGTTTTTGTTAACCCGAAGGAAATGGTGCAGATCATCAATATTGGTGGTCAAGCCGCGGTAATCGATCGTCACAAGCCTGACTTTGCGTTGTGACTTTGTGATCTCTTCTATCATGGCTTGCGTGCTACCACTATAACCATCGAGCTCTAACCCTGGACGATCATAGTCACGCGAAGCTATAGGATCAAATGCAGACGTGCTAATCGATACAAACACATTTTCGCATAGAAGCTTTGTTTTCAGTTTGTAGATCTGAAGGCCGACTGATTTTTTTTTTTGCGGACAACGGTTCCAGCGTTCGACTTTTTCTTGCGTACCCGATCGTGTAGATGGTTGAATGTGTGGCTTTAACCTTTGCACGGAATTAATGGATGTTGCTGATATCAGTCCAAGTAAAATCACGGTATTTGAGCTTGACTACGTTGTAATGACGACCGTGCTTTCGAACTCTTTTTGTTTGCTTGCGTTTCGCAGGACCCCAAAATCCATCCTTGCTCATCCATTCTGCCAAGTCTTCCTTTTTCAAAGTGTCGTTTTGCATATATTGTTGAACAATTTTGTATACTTCTTGTTTGGATAAAAACATGGTATCTGTCACGCCAGATGTCGGTTGCTTGGGCATGATTTGCTTTGTTAGCTGCAATATGGCCGTACGGGATGGAGGAATAGATGGACCGTATGATTCGCTGCTGATGCTTTCAAAATGCTCTTCATTTTCGACAGCACTTTTGGTTGTTGAGACAGTTGGCAATCGTTGAAACCGCCACGGTTCCTTAATAATCTTTGCCGTTGAAATAGCGACAGCAACTAGAGGATCGCCGTTGACTAATGTCGCTGGTGCTAGGCCAGTTTTTCGTAACCATGTCAGAGCACGATCTTTATTCTCATCCATGACATCGAGATCGAAGATGCTGCAAGCAGCATCACCTGCAGTCAAAAATATTGGTGGAAAACAAAGGAAGGTGTGCAAACTTAAAAAGAAAAGAGATTGTACTAGCCACTGTGAAGTAATTTGGAATACCTGGAGTCAGCTTTTTGGTGTTTTTCTTGGGGGAATTAAGAGCACTTGAGCGGTTGCTGTTGATTGCTGTTAAATTTAACAGTTTCTTGAATTAAAAAAAGGGTCATTCTTTGTTTCCATTCAATATGACCAACACTAGGGGTGGTAGTGGTAGTGGTAGTATGATTATTATTATATTAATTTCATTTTTATCTTTATTCTTTAATATATACAATATTATAAGAGAATATAAAACATTATTTAAGTTCATATTAACCTTCTAATATAAAAAATAAAGATTATATGGTGCAAGCACCTTATAATCCGCAAATTTTTAGGTAATCTTTGAATCCCTACTACTTTAATATCACCTTAAAATAAAAAAAGAAGCGGCTACTTATGTTTTTTAGACCTTTAAAAACAATATTTGTGGATTAGATTTGAGTTCTTGCTTCTTTAAAAAAAGTTATAGGCTTCTGAAGTTAGTCACTTTTGGCTGAGGGATAGCAAATTGAAACATATAGGATTATACTTCAGCAAGCGGAAATCAAGTTTAGCCTTATGGGTAAAATATTTAAGCGGTCCAAAGCCACTTGCCAACTGGCTACTAACTTAGGTTCATGTTTGCTTTGCCTTCTCATGCGTATTCCACACAATTTCTCCATTATACCTTGTCCTAAAGATCGAAAGAAAGCTGCTAAAAAGCCTAATTGAACAGAAATCGGTAACTTCGTCACTATAATGGAGCAATTGCAGCTGCATATAAGGAATGTGCGACAACTCCTCTGCTAGCCTTCAGAAACACCTTCCTATTGCTTTAGACTAAGCTTTTCCCCCAATAACCCCACAAAGATTTGTAGATATTACAAAAGATGGTTTTATTATATAGAAGCATATAAGTAAAGGGAGAGGATGCCTGGGCAGAAGATGAAGAAGTGAGGATATTCATAACCAAAATTGCAAGCTCCCATCGGAAAGTAGGCATTGATGATTAAAAACTACCATATATAGAAGCGGAATCTGAAAATTCGAAATTGAAACAAATTTCAAAATTGTGGATTATAAGGTATGTGCACCATAGAAATAATGCATTATTAGAAATTAATAATTAATAACTTTTTGTTACTTAGTAACAATTTTTTTTTAAAAAAAATCTCTAAAGATTATTATAAACATCATTTTTTTAAAAATAAAAGATATCAATAATATAATTTACAATTGTAAATTGATTATAGAATCTTTATTCTTATTCTTTATATAGTAAAAATCCTTGTTGGTATGAAGAAAATGGAAATATTTTTATTGCTAAGACATTGATGTCATATTTTTACCTAATTTTTTTAAAAATAGCATTTTAATTAGTTGCTATAGTAACAATCTAATCAATAATAGTTGTAGATGTATATAAAATCAAATAATAGTAGCTATTAAAAAATCAATGTAATCTAAATAGGTCCCCTCTGCAAAATGTGGATATGTTACACAAGTAGTATCGATAAGCTGGCAAAGTGTAATTAGTAAACACCAATTAAAAGAGTACAGTCTATTATTGATGGCTAAGTGATAAAATCTATGTATGGCCCAGCTTCTTTTTGCAATCATTACTTTGTTCTCTTCTATTCAACTCCTTTTTTGTCATAGGCAAAGCTAAATATGAGAAGCTCACAGATGAGCAAAATGACATTATCTACAACTACTACATCCAGAAGGAGAAAGCTAAAGTCAAGACATTTTAAGGATCTAGTTGCTTAGGCTAAAATTGAGTTGAACCTCAAGAATATCACTGTAGGAAAATTCTTGTGGATTTTAAATTCTTATAAACACTAAGTAAAGTAACAAAAATTCTTTAAGGAATCTTGTGAATCAAAGTAGCGATAAAGCAGTCACACGTTCACAAGAAATCACAAAACGTTTTGTGGAATACCAAAGCGGTCACATGCTCACAAGAAAATCACAGAACACTATGTGGACTACCAAAGTGCTCACACATTCACAAGAAATCACAAAACATTTTTGTGGAATATTCATTATATAGACTTTAAAAAATAGCTTTATTCAATTACATGATACTAGCTAAGGTTTGTTGATTGCTGGAATACTGGTCGAGCGTATACAAATGAAAACCATCCCTTTCTCTCTATATATATATCACATATACTCTCACTATATATATATATGTATATGCATGTATTTATATAATAATTAAACTTTCTGATACTTTAACTTACCTTTCAATTAAATTTATTTTTTTGGGGGGAGCAGCTCCGAGCCGCTTTGTTGTACGGCGTCGTTTGGTAGACTGCGTGGACTGGGCAAGGGAAGGGGCAGGAAGAAAAGCAGAAGCAGCAACAGGAAGAGAAGAAGAGAAGCAGGAAGAGAAGCAGAAGCAGGAAGATCAGCAGAAGCAGAAACAGGAGGAGTAGTAGAAGCAGAAGCCAGTTCTTGTTGTCTACATAATAGTTAATATATATTTGATTGTGGTTGCTCTAGTGTAGTAGTTTTCATACCTAGAAACCGCTCTCGACTTGCTGGATCTGCCATAGTTATTCCAGCATTCCTAGCAGGCTTTTCAATACTTTATTAATTTTTTTATTTTTGATTTATTTTATATATTTAGTTGTTAAGTTTTATTTTTAAATGATAAATAATGATCAATATAATTAGGGGTGGTCAGAGAAAATCTTTGATTTTCGATGACGTGGTTAGCTGGTCATTATGACAGTAGTCATAACCCTAGAATGATGGTAATCATTCTAAACATTTGCCTACAAATGCCTCATAAACAGTGCTCCTAAAGGATATAGCGAGCTGCCTACTGCCCCTGGCAGACAGCAAAATCAATGCCCTGCTTTTTTGCCAGGTTCATGAAAAGGCTAATAGCCCAGTTGCTATCTTTGCTTTGTAGCTTAACGAAGTAGTGGGTCATGCTGTTGTCAGCACCATTCTGCAATCTTTTCATCAGATCGATCACAACACGTTCGCGGATGTGCTTGATGTCAGTCTGGGCTTTGATCAAAGCACCACCTTCAAACTGGTGGTAGCCTTGAAGGAGAAGGCGCTCGACATCATCCTTGTTAGCTTTCTTCACCATCTTCCCCTTAGTATTTAGGGCCACTGGGTGGGGAATGAGGGCAACCGTCTCAGCAAGTTCTGCTTCATCGACAACTGGCACCTCGACTAGGGATTGCGCCGTTAGGATCTGGTCGAGCTTCTCTAGAATGATTGCTTGATTCGTCTCTACATTGATAAGACGATGCTCCATACGAGTGAAGACTTGGAGGAAATTGAGGTTAGCGTTGGAAGGTGTTTGGTTAGTATTTATTTTTTTAAAAAAATGTTTTTGGGAAGAAGAGAAGAAAGAAATGTTTTTTTGGGAAACTTTCGCGGTAATTTAAAAGTATTTGTCACCTTTATTAACTAAGTGGCTATAACATATCGTTCAATTGAGACTTACCTATCATTTCATACTCATCGTCCACTATCCAACCATGCCCATATATTGTTGCGATAACTGCGATAGAGAGTAATCAATAACAATTAATTTTACTGTAAATAGTAAATTAATTACGTCATTGTTTTTACTCTGTCAAGCTAACCATCGATCCAGTAGGTCTAGGTTAGAGGCGGGATATGCTCATTACCATTCTGCTACTATAAGCTTTGGATTAATCATTATAAAGTATAATATATTTTAAGAATTAATATTAATAATAAGAATCAAAAAATTAATATAGATTAAAAACTTTTTTGAAAAAATAAATGAAAAAATAAAACCTAATAAAAATTTAAAGAAATATATTTCAATATATAAATTTTTCTTAAACTATAATATCTGTTTTATTAATGGAACCTTTTTTATTTTATATTACAAGGATTAGTTCCTAATGAGACCTTTAGGTCTACAAGAAAGTATAAAAACTACGTCAAAGAGCACAAGCGGGAACAGTGCTGTAGCAGCAGCAGTTCGCCTCCACGTTCTACTGTGTTGGTGTTAGCACCCGACCTAATGAATGCCAATCTTGGTACCTTGACAAGAAACACTAATCTCAGGGTCCCTTCCGAGATCATTGCAGCTGATCGCGAAAGTGACAGCGTAGACCACGAGACCAGTGACAATGAAAGCTGTGGCGAAAATAACGACGAAGGTAGCGACGTCGAATCTATGCTGCCACTTGAGGACATGCCAAGTCGCATTAATGAAGGGGATGTCGACGAAATCGATGTTTTAAATATCGAGCAGCAAGCCCAAGATAACAGATGGGATCTCGAACTATTAGCGATTGTTCTTAACTCCAATCTTCCGAGGGACTGTCATGACAATCTGATCAGCTTTTGCAATCGCTTTACGAAGCACTCTATCGACAGCTTCAGTAAGTAAATGAGTGGTGATCAATGTATATATATGTTAAACATTTTTCGTAGGGGAAAATCGCAGCTTTGAAAACTTGTGTAGTTCATACTTGGCCAGCAAAAGGGCTGGAGATATTTGTCCTATCAAGCCGAGGAATCTGGATACGTGCGCGGACGGATGTGTTCTTTTCACTGGCAGTCAAGACAAGAGCCCAAAGTGCGAGAAGCCTTGTTATTTGGACAGTAGGAAGCCTGCATAGGTCATGAGATATATCCCTATCTCACACCTTCTTGCAAGTTTGTTTGCAACCACTACGAGTTGCGATCCTATAAGATTTGGCAACAAGAGTAGATGAGAAGAAGGCGTCACGACTGATATTGTTGATGGGCGTGCCTTCGAGATCTGCCGCTATTTTTCGATGGAGAGTAGGACATTACGCTTGGCTTATTTGTGGACGGTTCGTTCCATTCCGTCAAGGCCGTAATAATACAATATCAATGACGATTGTCCACCTTGTACTCTTCACGCTTCCTTAATCCGAAAGGTATTCTAGCAACGTATAAAGGTTTGATTTGGTACTGATATAAACTGGATACCACTTAGATACAAACTGAAGAATATGCTCCAAGTCGCCATCATCCCTGGACCATACAAGCCCAAAGACATTCATAGCTTTTTAAAGCCTTT